GCCCACTTCTTGTGACATCTATGATAATGCAAAAATGGCCTTAAAACATAAGAGTTAGTCTCTGATATGTGCCTATTAGGGGCACTTTGCAGGGTTACCTCCCTTGCTGTGCAGAGTTACCACTCTAGCTCCCACTGGTGTGGGTACAAAGTTGAGATTTAAGCCTGATTATGATGCTTGATCTCTAAGCACTTTGTCACTGAGCTTTGATCACCATTAAGCCAACACAAGATATACTGCTCAGAATAGAGTGCCTACTAATAACATGTGAAAGACGTCACTGTTTCAGTGGTGTGGGATTGGTCCAGAGTCCATTGCTTAAAGGTCACTATAAAATACAGTAAAGTATACTTATAATGAACATACAGTATAACAAACTTGTTTTTTGCTCCAGCCTCATGCGGGGCGGTGGGGTAGCCTAGTGGTTAAAGCGTTGGTTCGTCACGCTGTAGACCCGGGTTCGAATCCCCACATGGGTACAATGTGTGAAGCCCACTTCTGGTGTCCCCCGCTGTGATGTTGCTGAAATATTGCTAAAAGCGGCGTAAAACCCAACTCCAGTCAGTCAGTCCAGCCACATGCTGTATGTTTAAGTTGAAGTGCACATAAGAAGCTATGATTACCGGTCTCCTCAAATTCATGGTGATCGTAGTTACTCAGGGCTCGATTTTAAGCATTTAGAGTGAGTGAATTTAGTCTTGCAATATTCCAGCAATATCACGGTGGGGGACACCAGAAATGGGCTTCACACGTTGGGACCCATGTGGGGAATCGAACCCGGGTCTTCGGCATCACAAGCGAACGATTTAACCACTAGGCTACCACACTGCCCTTTCAAACATTTAGAACTTTGTGCAACCTGAAACTGCAAAATGCAACCCAGTGGATGTTAATATTTTGCTTTCCAAAGACTTCAGCTGGGATTCTGATGAAGACCTGGCTTGGAGCATTGAGTGTGATGATTACAGTGATGGAATAACTTACTGGTCATGTCATGAAAGTTTTTGAAGCAAGATAAAATGACCTATCAAACCCTGAATAATATTATCATGATGTTCTAAATAAACAACACAATGTAATTATATGTAATTAATGTAACCTGCCTTTTTTTTGTCTGGTGCAACAAGGTTATTACCGGAGGTTGCACCAAGTGCAAGCAGGTTTCATCTCCTTATTTCCGGCCCTGTTACTGTAGCATACTACTGAGTGCAGCATTAATCCATGAACAGAGCTGATATCTTGTTTTAAGTTTTTCCTTTAGTATTTACAAACTGTCATCATATGGCTGGATCATCATATACGTCCTAACTGTGGAACAAGAAGACAAAGTCATCAATATCCCCCGCAATGGCAAAATACTTTTCATGATTATGTCTACGAGTTATGACTATGTCAAATATTTAGGTGTGTATATAGAAAAGTGGAAGGAGAGTATTGAAAGGTTCTTAAAGTTCTGCTCCAGAAAGCAGCACAACCACCAATTTCAATCAACGTCGAACTTGTTGCCATTGAAACGCCAAAAATATTTAATTCAGAATTCCCAAACTACCAAAAGGCACCAGTACACCACCAGATCCATGTATGTGCCAAGTTTGGTGAAGAAATATTGAACGGTTTCAGAGTTCTGCTCGAAAAAGCACTACCATAATTTCAGCAACGCCGAACTTGTTGCCATTGAAACGCCAAAAATATTTAATTCAGAATTCCCAAACTCAGTACACCACCAGATCCATGTGCCAAGTTTTAATACCCCTGCGAAAAAAACGGACGGACGGATGGGGATAACAAAACCCGCTATGGGGATAACAGTACTCATGCTATTGATCAATGGATTGTCTGATACAGACTTGATTACTTACGCCGCCATATAACAGGAATATTGCTGAGTGTGGCAAACAACAAACCAACCAACATATGGCTAGAATGTTGCTTGCTGAGGGAGACAGCAATATTCACTCCACTGGGCATGTTGAGGGATGGCTTTATTAATGTATTGCACCAGATCGTCTCTCCCCTATGACTGGACACAAAGGAGCTGTTCACAGCACAGGATAGTCCACTATTGTCCTGCATCAGTTCATTGCAAGTGGACCAAATTGAATTGACCATAATTAGCCAAAATGTCAGGAGTAGATTGCAAATATTCATCAGCAGACCAAATGAAAGTAATTCTCCATGCGCCATTTCAAGTCTTTTAACATTGCTTCCTTGAGGTCATCCGGTCTGTGAACTTGAACTGATATCATGTATTGTCTTGTTACATCTGACGTTATTAGTTGTCGGTGCACTGGTATTCCCAAGAAAGTGTAAAAAAAAAAAGTGGTCATAGGCATCGACTGATCATGACCTTCACGTTTCATGTTTGTAGGTTCATATGCTGTTCTTTTTTTAGATTGATTGATTGATTAAGCTATTCCAATCAACCAATTGCTTTCTCATTCTTTGATCGACGTTCTAGAAGCTGATGAGTCATTAATAAAGCATACTTTATGGATAACTTTTTGTTTATTGCATAGAGCGACCTTTTGGTGTAGATTCTTACACTGTTTTCAAGTTAAAAGTCTTATGCTGTATTATATTTTTTCATCACATATATTCCTCCTTTCTGATAGTGGGGTAGACTAGTGGTTAAAGTGTTCCCTTGTCATGCCAGCGTCCGCCCGGAGAGCGGAAGGTCGCAGGTTCGATCCCCGACCGCGTCATACCAAAAGACGTTAAAATATGGTACTCATTGGTCCCTGCCTGGCGCTCGGCATTAATGGGTACAACAAGGACTGGTCGGCTCAGAGTCAGTATAATGTGTCTGAGTGGGGTATTCATGCTTCACTGCAGCATGGTATCTCAGTGGGCTAGCACTATAAAACCAGCTTCAGTCTGGGCTAGTACAAGCAGCCGCACATACACATACACACGCATGCACGTCGTCATATGAGCGAAATATTCTCAAGCACGACGATAAACCCAATTTCACCTCACCTTGTCATGCCTGACCAGGGTTTGATTTCTCTGAGTGCAATGTGTGGTGAAAAATCGTTTTTGTTGTCCCCAATGTAAAATTGTTGAAACAGAAGACACGGCTCCACCCACGCAGCTCAAATGTGTAGGACCAGATAGAATCTGGTCCCAAGAGCCTAAAGCATGTGTGGGCAAGTTAGAGGAATATTGTGCAATAGTTGCAGTTCGGTGCACTGCAGCTGTAGACGAGAAGACAATATAGCCTCTTTTGTAACAGAGGTCAATGTTTGCTCGTTGCTTGTGTGTTAATGTTGCAATGTCAGCAAAGAAGGGGAGCCTGTTTCCAGGTGGTCCTTAGTCACAGGGTGGTCCATAGCAGCTCATTGCAGTTCTCTACCTAGTGATTCATACTCAATATTTGATCCATATTTTGTCAGCAATGAAAACAAAATTTGAGAAGTTTGAAGAAATATGTTCTGTGAAGGAAAACTGCATTTGCACATTTGTGAAGGAAAGCTGCATTTGCACATATGTGAAATCATCTTGCATTTTTTGATGTTATGGCATTTTTTAATGCAAAAAGATAACATTTTTATAATATTTTCATAAAACTTTTCAAATAACTTTTATTTTATGTTATGCACAGTTACTTTTTTCCATCAGTATCAGGCCTAGCAAAGAAAACTTTGCCACTGTGCAGAAAAACACAGAAAAGCCCACATTAATCGTGGAAATAGCAACATAAACATAATAGGTCGCCACTGAAACAGTAAAATCGGCAACTTTAAATCACTAAAACTGCATAAAAAAATGAAGAGCCTGCAACTTCGATTTTGCGCATGGGGAAGTCTCGACTGCATGTTGACATTTTCCAGCTTGGTCAAAAGTTACATTTTCTTTTTAAGTATTTCTGTTGTGTTAATTGGCATTTATCATCATGATACTTGTGTGCACACTTGTTTAGTTTACTTTCCATTCATATGAAATGATTGACAGTTATTATTTAGACATATTTAATACTTTTTCTACGCGAGGCGATCCACGGTTGCTCGGAAATTAGAAAGAAGCGCGGATTGTAATGCGCATGCGCAGTAGAGGTCAAAGTTCGTTTATATAAAAATGTTGCAGTTTCACAGTCTTTCGTTGCCGTTTTTACTGTTTCAGTAGCGAGGTATTATGTTTATGTTGCTATTTTCACGATTAATGTGGGCTTTTCTTCGTTTTTCTGCACAGTGGGAAAGTTTACTTTGGTAGGCCTGAGTATAGATCGTTGAATGCAGAATTTCTGTGGAAGATTTTATCACAATATTTGAAAACCTGGAGTCTTCATGAAAACAATGGCTGACATGCAGGCCCAGTTAATTGTTTCACTTACAAAACCTCAATGTGAGAGGGTTTTAGTTTGCCAGCTAAGTTAATCTTTAAACTGAATTGCTGGAAATAATTCATGTGAGGCACATCAAGCAACATTCATACTTATCACCAAATGCATGTACATATTTTAAGGGACCCCTGAAGATGCAGGTTAAAATTTGTCTTCATATACTCATGGTTTGTCAAATGAGATGGGGCAGTCAGGATTACTGACTTGTTTGACACATGTCATCGTATCCCAGTTTTGTAGATCGAATTTCATGATCTCAGTCACTGAATTGTCTGGTCCAGATTTCATTATTTACAGACTGCCGTCATAGGAGGAATATTGCTGAGTGAAACATTAAATATCAAATAAACAGCCAAAAAATCTATTTTAAGTTGTGATCGACTAATGTCAAGATATTTCAGTTTCTCAATGTCAAACGATACCAGGCTTTCACAGATCAACATGGTGATCAACAGCAACTTGTTAATTTATTGAAACCAGCTGAATGTATGTGTATGTTATCCACAAGATGATGTTTATTTTGTGTTTCGAGTGTCATGGTAAACAATAGATTCACCTGACTGATATGAGACTGTATTACTACCATTGCCTGACTGTGATATGAGACTGTATTACTACCATTGCCTGACTGTGATATGAGACTGTATTTCTACCTCTGCAGGTCACGTGGGAGCTGAGACGTTGTGGACCACATTGAGAGGGGAATCAGAGTCAAAACTCCTCAGAGAAGATGGAAGATTTCCTCACGTCCTCAAGGTAATTATCTAAATGTTATAAACATTTATACACTGGCTGTACTCATGACACAGTTTGATATACACATCTAGGGGGAGTGAGTGAGCAAGTAAGGTTATACACCACTTTCTGCAATATTCCAGGAATATCATGACCAGGGACACCAGAAATGGGCTTCACACATTGTACCCATGAGGGAAATCGAACCAGGGTCTGAGGCTTGACAAACGAACACTTTAACCACTAGGCTACCCCACCTCCAATAAAAGCATCTATAGTACGCTTCTGCTCACAATCTTTACTTGTTTAGCATCTCAGCTTAGCCACAGCAGCTCACAAGCTTTTGTGAAGGTTTTAAGTCAGGATCTGTCAATTTGCCCAACACTGAGAATATAGTGTTCAGCACTTGTGTTCATATATATTTTTCTGTGACAAACTATTTAACCTCATCATCACCATGAATAAACTCCACACACAGTAGTGCATGCACTGTGTGGATTCTTGTAGGTGGGAGCTCATTGAGATAACGGCAGCCAGCAGAGGCTGCCTTTCACCAAGGTCGACCTCTGTTCTCAGAGCTGTGTCGGACAACAGCCCCAGGCAGTAATGGAACATTTTTTCAATGAACTTCTAACAAGCAAAACCAGGCGTTCCACAAACCACCACATAAAGTCAATAAACAGAAGCGTTATGAACATCTGGTATGATGTACTAAAATATTTACACATAAGCAATGAAAACACTACACATGAATAACTAAACACGTCTTTCTAAAGATGAACGTGTCAACGAATGTCCAAGCTTATCCTAAGGAAGTTGTGCTCTGAATAGCATTGTAAATCCTTAGGATATTGCCTCCTTCAGAAATCTTGTCAGTTTGCATTTCCGCTACAATGATCAATACTTGTCAGTCAACGTCAGATGTTAAACGATTATCATTGGTTTTTGGAATCCATTCCATCATGAATGATGATGGTGATGATGATTGACCCAGTTTTCTCCCCTTGAGAATTCTCCATCTTTGGGATAACGCCTCCAGCATTGTCTTTTCCAGCAGATCGGTCATTGACCTCGCTGGATTTGGGCCTCGGGAATGAAGAAAGATTATATTTCAGTTCAAATCAAAGAAATTTGGGTCCCTTTTATTGAAAAGAATTGGCAATCCAAAAAGTATTTAATCTGTGGAGTGGAGTGATTCCTGTTTGGAGAATTACAGAACTAATCAATTCCGGTTGAACAGATTTTGTGAGCAGGCTAATACAAATACTGAAGACGAATCACCCTGTCGTCCATTTTCCTGAGTGAAGTATGGGGCTGGTGTAGGGAGTGCCAGTTGCAGACTGCTTAACTCACATCACATCAGGTCTATATCAACAAGGTTCAAGTGTAGTAGTATACAACACTAATGCAGCCAATCATTGTGAAGCAGACTCCCTAGCTGCATCCTACTTCAGGGTAGCTGATCGTAGACTCCCCAACTGCATCTTACTTCAGGGTAGCCAATCATTGTGAAGCAGACGCCCTAACTGCATCCCACTTCAGGGTAGCTGATCGTAGACTCCCCAACTGCATCTTACTTCAGGGTAGCCAATCTGCATCTGCATACTTCAGGGTAGCTGGGACTCCCCAACTGCATCTTACTTCAGGGTAGCCAATCATTGTGAAGCAGCCCTAACTGCATCCCACTTCAAGGTAGCTGCATCCCACTTCAGGGTAGCCAATCATTGTGAAGCAGATCCCATTGCAGGGTAGCCAATCATTGTGAAGCAGGCGCCCTAACTGCATCCCATTGCAGGGTAGCCAATCATTGTGAAAGCTAAGCATCCCACTTCTAACTGCATCCCATTTCAGGGTAGCCAATCATTGTGAAGCAGACGCCCTAACTGCATCCCATTGCAGGGTAGCCAATCATTGTGAAGCAGACGCCCTAACTGCATCCCATTGCAGGGTAGCCAATCTTTGTGAAGCAGACGCCCTAACTGCATCCCACTGCAAGGTGGCCAATCCTTGTGAAGCAGACTCCCTAGCTGCATCCCACTTCAGGGTGGCCAATCCTTGTGAAGCAGACTCCCTAGCTGCATCCCACTTCAGGGTGGCCAATCCTTGAGAAGTAGAAACTTCCCAACTTCATCCACCATATGTGTTTAGCCATCTTTATGCCCCATTGAAAGCATTGCAACTGATATTGTCTACTTTAAAAGATCTATACATGCATGTAATCCTTTAATGTGAAATCAGTGTTAATATTCCGATGCTCCTGTGAGTGCTTATTCTCAGCAAGCCAGTTGTGTAATATTATAATAAAGTGACATTAAGCCGACACCGTTCTCCCGTTCTTGTCTGCATGTTCACTAATGTATGCGTTTTGTGTGTGCAGGATGCGTACAGCGCCTTTGTGCGGGAGTCACTCACCCTGGGCCAGAAGCCAGTAACACGGAACTACACTGCCACGGATGATGTATGTATGCTGTCACTCTACTCTGACCCCCACCAAACTCCCAACTCCTCTAAGCACCATTACAGTGCCCTACCAACCAGCAACCCTCAACCACCCCTGACCCAACTCAAAACTCCACGTATGCTCCCCTACTTGCCAACTCCACGTCCCTCTATGAGCCCCGACCTATGCTCCCCTACTTGCCAACTACACGTCCCTCTATGAGCCCCCACCACTTAAGAATAAAGGAAAAACAAAAGAAGCGATAAAGTGACAAAAAAAGCCCAACAACGTCTTGATTAATTTTTTTGTATTTAATAGGGCACCTCACAAATCATGAATGGGCGTCAAACAGGAGTAGAAATTCATGATGTAAATCAAAGTTAACTTCCTGGTCGAAGTGTTACACAACACATCAGGACATTTCAAGGCAGATATCGTGTGGTCACTGGCCCAGTGGCATAGCCAGTGTTTATTCGGAAAACAAATTTGAATTGACACCTCTTTACTTCAGGTTCTTTTAATATGTCTATGGACATGGCATATATTAACTTCAAGCCGACTAATTGCAAGTCACCCATGAAGCTCCAGGTTAGAATTGGTATTCTGCAACCCATGCTTGTCGTAAACAGCGACAAACAGGATTAGGTGGTCAGGCTCACTGACTTGGTTGACACACGTCATCGTATCCCAGTTCCATAGTTCATGATCACTGGATTGTCTGGTCCAGACTTGATTATTTACAGACTGCTGTCGTATAGCTGGAATATTGCTGAGTGCGACAACAACCAACCAACCAACCACAAACCCAACTCATTGCGAGTAAGATGTCCCAATGTTATCTGGAATCACCAGCTTGGTCTGCAGAGTTGTGCCCCTTAGCTGTCAACTGATACATCTTCAACTAATCTGATAAAACAAGAAGAGCAGTCACCTCCCCCTCACATAATGACCAGGTTTTATGATGGTTGAAATGATATAGAAATTAACAATGAAACCAATGTCCAATAGCATATTCTGTGTCTTCAAAGACGACACCTGTTTGAAAACATTTTGGCGAGTCAATTGTATTGTTGACAATGGTATGAATAGGTCTTTGATGATGCTATCACACGTGGAGCTGCCAGGATTCCTCATTTGTGGGATCATTTGACTTGTGACGATCTTAAATACCACAGCACTGCATTTTATGTTTATTTGAAGCTTTTAAACTGTGTACTGCCCCAATCTTGTCCCCAAGACAAGCAGTAGTCAGGAACAATTCAACATTTACTTTTGGACAACCACAATTCTGTAGACCTGATCATTTCTAGGCTGTCATGATATGGGGCAGTGGGGTAGCCTAGTGGTTAAAGTGTTCGATCAATACGCTGAAGGCTCGGGTTCAATTCCCCACATGGGTACAATGTGTGAAGCCCATTTCTGGTGTCCCCTCGCCGTGAGATTGCTGGAATATTGCTAAAAGCGGTGTAAAACTAAACTCACTCACTCATCCTGATTCAGGTGCCGGACATGAAGAAGCTGCTGGACCAGAAGCTGCTGTACAACATCCGCAAGTATCGCCACAAGACCGGCCTGATGTACCGCTCCTCCCAGGCCAACAATGATCGCACCAACATCCTCCTCTTCAACAACCCACTCCCAGACATCACCGACGGGGACAAGGACAACATCGCCAGATACATGCCATCATGGGTGGAGAGTATGTCAGTAAGTGGACTTGTATGTCACACAAGACCTGCTCTAGTGGGTAGTCTAGAGCAGAATTAGTCCAACACAACCCATTTTGTCCTACAAGACAACCGCACTAGATGGATCAGGTGGTCAGGCTCATTGAGTTGGTCTTTTGTATCATCATACCAAACATTTCGGAAGCTGTAATAAGGATCACTGGATTGTTGTTAGATGTGTGTCATTTACAGGCAACCACACATTAAGTGATATGGTTTACTCATTTTTGTTCAGGATGCTGAGATATTTCTTACTGTTAGAGAGGAAATACATTGCACATTTGCATGTTTGTTTTAAATCTAAAATGCATTTGTTGCATGGTTGGATGAAACATTTCCAACCAGTTTGATGCACTTAGTTTATCATTTTCAAATGTTGAGATGTACAGATGAAATAAACAATATTTTCAAGTCATGTTACTTAAGTCTTAAGATTATTATGTGGAATGTGATCAAGAGTTGATGTTTGATGATAGATCCAAGTATCACCTCTGTAATGGGCATAGGTAGAAATGAATTTGAAATCTAAATACTGATCTCATGAGAAACCCCATTCTCTTCCCACAGAGGTTACTCCTGTCATATCTTCCTACGTAACCTCTGTTCTAATACGGCACTTTCATGGTGTGAGCGTTCAAGACTCGTGATTGGAGACAATCAGATTTAGTTGTGCAATCAGCGACGTTGTTTCAAAAGTGATCATTCGCAAGGCCTCGGTAATTTCCGTATGCTTCCAGAAAACTAAACTTCTTCCCCTGCGCGATGCGTAAACGTTTCTTCTAGACCGAACTCAGTCATGTTATGGCGGATCAGTGGCGTCTCCATCGCCCTCGTTGACAACGGACAAGCTAGCCATTAAACGTCTTGTTTGTAACATCAACACAAGTCCCCGGCAGATGGGGGATATTTGTGGCCCCACATTTGCTTGTGTTAGTCAAGTTGAATCTAAGTCGATGTAACAGGTGTTCTGATTGGATAGAAAGAAGGGAGATAATTCGTGTTGCGATCTTTTGCCGCTAGGGGATTTTACGAGAACACGGAAATATGGCCGTATTAGAACAGAGGTTACGTAGGAAGATATGACAGGAGTAACCTCTGTGGGAAGAGAATGGAGAAACCCTTAAAAATATTAAATTCTTCTGACTTAAGAATAGTTTTCTACTGGTTATTCGTTGTTACTGTCCTTGTTAATGGACAGGAGATGCAGTTTCGAGTGGTACACACACAGAATACCTACCAGCCATATTGTTTAGTGTCACGTCACCCAAACCCGACATTTTTTGTGAAGTTTTAAGATAAACTTGCTTGCTTTCAAAGATGGCAGAAGGTATCCGTAGTCTTACCTTTCATGTTATGGAGGTTCACAGTGGCATGTGTCTTAATTCCAGGATACATCGGAGCCAGCATATGTAAAATGGTTGACAAGCAGAACTGAGAAGATTCTGGCAGACGGCAACTCCGACGCTAGCCTCCATCTCAAAGCAGATGAAAAGGAGCGTGAGGAATCACCCATCCCGGCAGACTCCATCCTGCCACCTCCTAGGCAGACGGACAGAGAGAAGTTCAAGCTTCAGTTCCTCACTGAGAAGGATACTCAGGTCCCCGGAGAGTTTGCAAAGAAGTTCCGTGAGCAGAGAGATCGAAAGGACCTGCCGACTGCTCACAGTCGTATGCCATCCGTCAAAGCTCAGTCCAGCTTGGGTTTCATGGAGTCTCGGTTGTCGGAGCCTGAGGAGAGAGGTACACACATCTTGATGCTGCTTTCTCTATTAGCTGTCAGACTCATGAACTCATGTGTCATCTTCTGTCATAACCCTTGTAGGGACCCAGGGGTGGTTTTGGGGTAAATTTGGTTCCTGATCCAATATGCCCAGGAGTAATTCAGAAACAGATCAGGTCCCAAGTACCCAGTCCAAAACTTATGTTTCTGACGTAGATAAGGTTACTGATCTGGTCTGATTCCAAAGCTGGTGAGATCCCTAGCACCAAGATCTGGTCTCACCAGCGTGATTGCAAGGCATGCCAGGTCTCACCATGAAGGTGAAGTCCTCAGCACCCAGATCTGGTCTCACCATGCATGCCACATCCCCCAGATCTGGTCTCACCATGAAGGTGAGGTCCTCAGCATCCAGATCTGGTGTCACCATGCATGCCACGTCCCCCAGCACCCAGATCTGGTCTCACCATGAAGGTGAGGTCCTCAGCATCCAGATCTGGTGTCACCATGCATGCCACGTCCCCCAGCATCCAGATCTGGTGTCACCATGCATGCCACGTCCCCCAGCATCCAGATCTGGTGTCACCATGCATGCCAGGTCCCCCAGCACCCAGATCTGGTGTCACCATGCATGCCACGTCCCCCAGCACCCAGATCTGGTCTCACCATGAAGGTGAGGTCCTCAGCATCCAGATCTGGTGTCACCATGCATGCCACGTCCCCCAGCATCCAGATCTGGTGTCACCATGCATGCCACGTCCCCCAGCATCCAGATCTGGTGTCACCATGCATGCCACGTCCCCCAGCACCCAGATCTGGTGTCACCACGCATGCCAGGTCCCCAGCACCCAGATCTGGTCTCACCATGCGTGCCAGGTCCCCCAGCACCCAGATCTGGTCTCACCAGCATGATTGCAAGGCAGGTCAGGTCCCCAGTATATATAACGAAAATATTATTCAAGCCTCAAGCCATGATAAAAATAACTATACAACTGCTGTTCTCTTCCAGGTTCTTCTCAGGGACTACAGCGGTCTGTGACCAATACATCTAAACAGGACATGATTCGTCGCTTCACCTCAGACTGGCAGCCCCTCAGCATGAATGCTCTGGTGGAATATAAGAAAGAAATGGCCACCGAGGGAGACGGCGAGTTTCAACATGGCCGCATGAAGATGTGGCCAGTCGTCATGTCATCCTAATCAATGGACGCAAGTGGCCGTGAATGGTCATGACAAATATACAACGCAAACTGACATTTTGACATAATAAGCTTGATAAAATCATGACTGAATGTTTATACTGTATCCAATATTCATTATCCCAGTATTGTATTCTATATTTTAGCATTATCAGCAAGTATTATTGATGTGATACATATATCCATGCTTAAGCCATTTCTTATCTATTTCACTGCTTTGTTGCTATATACATATAGAAATTGGTCGATCCGAAAATAATTTTTATGACTCCACATCTTCATTATTTGTTTTGGTTTGAAGCATATAAGATAAATTGTAAACAGTTTGCAATATAAGTATTAAAATAATTTAATGAAACAGCAACAGTAAATAAGGGTGTGGTATTTTTTACATTTAACTATTGTCAGCTGAATTTGAAAAACATGCTTCATATTGTGTACTTCATGCTTTTCTTAGGTATATTTTATACATTTCAATTATTTGGAGCCAACAGATTCATAAACCATACAAATACAAAGTCAGACCCAGGTGTTCCAATAGCCTCAATAACAGTTTGTAGGGATGCTTAGTCTGCAGTGGTACCAATGACTTATGACAAGGAATAACTGTAGTTGTAGACTGAGATGCCAACCCAAATAGAAGCAGATAGAGACAATTGGGTTGAAAATAAGCAATTTATCAAGTAAACAATAATAATTGACTGTATGTCGTTGTTATAAAATGCAATGAATTGATTTATGTTCATCAGACTCCTCAGCATGTGTAAACATCACAAGCTCAAAAAATGACAATTGATTGTGTATGAGAATGCCTGTAGTAATGCCAGGAGGAGATTGGAATGACTGGAGATGCTTGGTTTGTTATTAAGTTGTTAAGGTATTATTTCTTATTAATTGGTTTTTCAAAATGGTGGCCTAAAGTTTCATGGTAAGTGGCAAGGTAGAGAGGAAACAATTTTTTAATTCTAAATTAGTTCTGCTGCTCATGATGACAATTTAAACTCTTTTTCACGAAATATAGAAATTTTGCACATATACTATCTTACTAGCAATCATGACAGAAAACAGAGACTAGTCCAACAAAACAATATTCAAAAGTCGTTTTCTCTTTTTTTTCTAAATAGTGGTTTCAACGGTCAATTTCGTAAACCAACAGAAAAACAATAAGTACCATCATATTGACAGGTTCAAAGTATTAAAATGGCATCTCAGTAACCACAGTTTTGAGTAATTCCTGAGCTTATAGATTGTACATATTTGAGTTAAGTTTTAGAGGAACAGAAATTACATTTCTTTGATAAAATAGGTACATAAATATGTATTTGTGACAGTTTTTCTGTAGTGCTTGCCAGCTTTAAACCCCCATGTACTCCTACAGCTAATTCAGTATAGTATATATATTAACACTGTTTTCAAGGACTTCACATTGCTTTCAAAGGAACTGGATGAATTGAGGGGAGGTAACTCTAATATTTACTTTATGATTTATAACCCACTGGTACATGCTAATCAATTGCGAGTCACATTTTTTTGGGGGGGGGGGGACTCCTCTAGATTACCTGAGAAAACCAACCCTTTAATTAACCAGTCCCTTCGCTGTATTTTTTTAAAACAGTATACCCTTATCACAAATACTGAAGTCTGAAAATAATTCATCCTTTGAATCATATTTGTACAAATTTGATATTGTGACTGATGAAGAATGTGTTATGAATGTTTATTAGGCCAGACCAATTTTATTTCTTGTTTTATGAATCCTCCAGTCATATTTTCTCAAGAATAAGAAAAAAAATAAACATTCATTTTCTCCGCTCAAAAAAGTAAAATCTTTATATTTTTATTGGCCAAAAATGTAAACTTACAAGAAAGTGTGTTTGTAATTGTTTGTTGTCCCATATACACTGCATAAATTGGCAGAAGTACAATACATGTACTTTTAATATTTAGAAGGAATATTACTTTTACTAGTGATTTTATTATTATTATTTTTCCCTCCTGCCCTTAGGTTTTCTGAGGACAAAAATCCGTAAAACAAGAAATAAAATTGGTCTGGTCTTTCCTGGGACTGCCAAAAAGCCCAAGCCAAACCTCTTATTAAGGGTAGATACAAGATTCATGTATGTACGGTATACTAGGATTATAATGAACTAGATAGGAGCACTTATTTTGGTTCGTAATAACCATGGTTTGTTATATGCTTTGGGGCTAATGTAAAAAAGTTCATTATATACATCAGTTCATCATAAGCGTGTTCACATTAAACGTAGTTTACTATTCATGTTCTATCAGTATTACCTGCCAATTAGTATTCCACTGGGACCTTATTACCAGGTACATGAATTTACTAAAGTTATAAATACCAAAGACAAAACTCCCACATACTGTAAACTGGCACAAATTTTGCCAAGTATTCCATAACTTCTATTGTCTTCAAATATGGCGAGGTTTTAGACAGGTTGTGCTCCTTTCCATGTTGTCTTCCTGAGCGTGTAAAATATTTGTCCATGGGATCACCGACCTGCACACACCAGCTCATGTCGCTGTATAATTAGCTAACACACCTATTAGTGCAGAGCAAATACCATGGTGTGGAGAAGATGGATTTTACAGATCAGGCAGAATTTTTATTCTAACCTAATTTTCAAACATTTTCCATCTTGATCCTTTGGCAAGTAAATGGTACACAGTGCTTAGTATTAACTGTAACAGCAGATTTTTAAGACAACCCAAATTTGAAAATTCAGACTTGAAAATCACATAGAATCCAGAAGTGGATGTTAAAAACATCACGGCTCAGGGTTCTGCATTCATGGATAAAAAAAACCAAAAGGCTCTTCATGTTGTGAAATGTTTTGTCAATATTGTAGCCTCTACTTCATCAGGTCTCAGATTTTGAAACCCAGCTGGGAATATTCTTAATGTAATGTGTCTTCATAAATTCAGAAAGTAAATATTCCATGTACATGGATAATATTTAGATTTGTATTTGCAATTATTTATTCAGCATAAATAGTATTATTGATATTATTGTATTTGTGTATAGATTTATCGTGGTTATGTACAATGTATATTACATATATTTGTTATTGTATTTTGCTTTGCACTGAAAAGCTTCCTGTGATATGTTTCTTTTATCATTTGAAATCAAGTATCTTATAGACACATTACCATAGAATGCCAAAGATTTGTCCATCAAGAGTTGTCCCCCTTTCCAATGAAAAACGCAAAAATGTTATTTGAATGCAAGCATCATCATTGTGCATGATTCGACTTAACATTAATCAGTTTAGAAGGGATTGAATTGAAAAAAATTATATATTCGATGTAATTAATGAACCTTTTGGTTGGATGGTGGTTTATATTTTATATATAAATAAGATGACATGCTGAAGAAAAAAGCAGTTTGCGAGAATTTCAATTGTTATTAATTATTAAAACAATGTTAAAAATCGTAAACTGTTATTTAGAATCATGAAACGGGTGGATACAGAGTGAAGATACTGCATCTATGTTTTGTATGATGAGAATTCCTCCGTCCAGTCCTCGCGGCAGGCAGCGTCCCCGCCCAGTATACTGATGTCTGGTGCTAGACTCAGCACCTGGCACCGCACGTGTACAACACTCTGCACTTGTTAACGGCTCTGGTTGATGGGCAATAAAGATATACAACTCATGCAGAGTCTTTGTTATTGCAAGAGGTTTGGTGCAGATGGCTTAGCTTGGAGGTGATTGGTTGGTTTGTTGTTTAATGCCACACTCAGCAATATTCCAGCAATATGCCGTGTCTGTAAATAATCAAGTCTGGACCAGCCTATCAAGTTATCAACAGCATGATCATCGATCTACCCAATTAGAATACGATGACATGTGTCAACCAAGTTCACGAGCCTGACCACCTGATCCTGTCAGTCGCCTCTTATGACAAGCATAGGTGCTGAAGACCAGTTCTAACCCTGATCTTCACAGGCAGCTCTGAGTTGACGTGTAGTAAAATATATCAGTTTCATTCTGGGTAATTAACAGTGTTTGTATTCCTTGGCTTCAGACTCCCAAAGTCCAATGGACGTTAACTCACTCTCACAACTGGAAGTGAAAGCTCTTTATGTCAGATGAAGACCATCTCCTTTTACAAACGCTCTCACCAAATAACGTATACACCCAGTTCTACTAAAGTACTGTCGAAATAGAAAAAACACTGTTTTTAGGCTGTTACTCTGTATCCCTACAATTTACAGAATTACAAATAGCGTATGTCGAAATAACCCACACTGGTCTAACTGGGGGTTCAGTGGGATGTGTAATAGGATATCCAGAAAAGCATGTTTACTCGTCAAATCTCTTAGAAAAATACCAAATCGTTGCAATAGATATGCTGCCTTCAGGTAGGTGCTTTTCATGTGTGAAAGTCTTTCTTTCATACAGTTTATGTTGAGAAATGTAAAAGAGTATGATACTCATAGAAAAGCTTAAATCAGCCTTTGTATTAAATGTCTCAAAACATATAGGCGGCATGACCACCCGAAGATCGACAGGACTGGATATTATTTGTAAATTGTTATGACATGCCGTTTACTTCCCCAGTTTAATTCCCCTAAAGGATTATCTTATCTTAGCTGATATCTATATCCCCCAGCCCGACCCCAACCACCGCCTGGGACACCTGTCTTAGTTTTGCTTTTGAGACGACCCCTCCTACCTGTTTGTTTTTATAGTGATAGTGAGACTCCATGCCAGCTACATCCTTCATAGTTTCAGTATTAAAGTTATTATTTTTTACGTCCGTTATCGTTTATAATGAAGCTATGTCTAATTTCAAAATGGGCATTTAAAAATTGGCCTTTGTAATATAACATCATTGCAAACTAATTTGCATAAAGCCATGGTCTGTTCCAGGTAAGTCGCATTGGACTTCGAAAAAACCCTCATTGTTCATTTCTGCACTAATCTCTCCTCAGTAAAATCCTTCTTTTACGTTTCCTATCTCCCTGCCACTGAGACTGTAGTTAGGCCGAACTTAGTTTAACAGATATTTCACTTTCACATATTAACTACTTAAATTTTAGATATACGTGTGAAAAAGCAGTTTTTTCTATTTCCGACAGTACTTTAACCCACTCATTTATTCACCCATCCATCCTTCCGGCTGTCTGTCCAAACAAAACCACTCCCATGTCCATTACATTACTGGCATCCTCTTAATCTCTCCCTTATTAATTCAACTTGGCGTAAATATTAATCCTCATTGTGTAAACATCCATCAC